TTTTTAAAGTGGGATCTTGCTGTTGTTTTTGTTGTAAAGTCTTAAAATCTCCTTCTACATGTTCTTCAAATTAGGACTCCTATGAGCGAGCGAAGAACATCCTGAAGACTCATGCAAAAGAACACAAGAATTTAGCAGAAGCTTTATTGAAATATGAGACTTTGGATGCCAAAGAAATCCAAATGGTTCTAGAGGGAAAAAAACTAGAAGTAAGATGATAACTTCTGGGATATGTAACTGATAATTTGAAGAATGTACATCTAGCAATGCAGTAGTCTTACGCAGCATAGCCTTTTTTTCTCTTCCTGATGTGTGTATGGCATTAGTGTCACTTTAATATTAGTCTGTCTCTTGTGAGCTTCTGTTACCCATCTATTTGTTGTGTCTCATCAGAATAAGACACAAAATAAAGCAAGTTCCTCATCCTCTGCTCCTTATACTCTTCGCACAAGAAGTTATTCAGAAGGATAAATCTCAGGGTTGAATTCAGCATTTTGATTCAATCAAATGTGTTGAAGCTGAGCAGAAAAACATGCAGATCCACTGGTGTGTGTTGGCACAGCTTCCTGGGCCGTGCTGCTACATGTGTGTTTGAAGTGATACCTCACAATGTGTGCGCTGGGATGTTATGGTGAGTGACAGACTGAGATGTAAAGCAATAGTATGTTGTGTAGCTATTGCTCATACTCTGTTTGAGGTTAGAGACCACTATTAAAGACTTCTTATTTAGAAATGTAACAAAACATCTCAAAGAATGAACAAGCTACATGGTTGGGAGCACCATGCTAGACAAAAATGTTAGTGGTCATGTTTCCAGTACTCTTGGGGTTAAAATACACATATGTATGGCTGGGAGAGAAATTGCAAAAACAACAGGCTAAATGTGTCTAAGCCTCTTTGGACCATGTTTTGGGTGAAAGTATAGCAGGGATAAGAGAAATACCTGTGACCTCTGATGTGCTGCTGACAAGTTTCTTAAAATTTTTATTACTGCAGTAGACAGATGACAGTGCTTTGATGACAGTGCTTTTACACTGCTGGAAATTCTACAGAACTAGTTTCTATTAATACTATGTATGGTGTTTGATAATCCAACAGATAATCTCTTCGAAGAGGACAACGTCACTCACGGAAAAGTAATTCAGAAAATGTTTGAAGCATGTGTTGTTTCAAATAACATTTCTAGTTCTGTTCTATGGTAGAAGTAGGGAAATAAAACCTTTTCTTTCAACCCTTACAGAAACCTTGGGAAATTCTAAGAAAATACAAAAAAAGTTTTGAAAACAAGACTGGTTTCCAATCAAGTGGAAGTGATGGCTAGCAATTATATACGAGTATTCCTCTGATCTCATGGAACTGGATTTTAGGAATAACACATCTTGATCATAATCCTTCTGCACAATCAGTTGTAGTTTGTGGGATTACAAGCTTCTGTTGCAGAGAGGGCATGTATTAGCATGTTAATGTTGAGGGTTACCATATTTGGACATTAAAATAGTTGGGCTGGTGCCAAGAAATGTGAATGGAAACTGGTAGCTACACCTAAAACTAGAAGTAACATAGTATTTTAGAATTTTCTGAGTGTAATGCTTGATTATAACCTTGTTTTTTTAGTAAAAGCACATGCTTTTTTTATTCCCCTTTCAAAGGAAGATCAACTTTCTTTTTTGCCTCTTTTTGTCAACTTACTATAGTGGCATCCTGCTCAGCGTGGGAGAACTTCCAAATATTATAAAACGGTATAGGAAATGTCTAGGCTGACTAGTTACAGTTGTACATGTATTTTGGAAATATGCCAATAGAAACAGAAGTATACTGCATATTTGACATCTGGTTTTGGAGTAATAAAGGTTAATTTTAATTATGCACATTGGTTTTCTTCTTATTTACTGTAAATTGCTATAAAATGTAATACCAAGTTCCCTAGTATGTAAATTGAGGTGTATACAACATTTAAAATTGTAAATAAATTTAAGAATTATGGCAAAATTGCACTCTCTCTAAGTGAGATTTCTAGGGAATGTTCTCCCTAGAAATTCACACCTTTTTTCAATTGCTGCTTCAGTAGTGGGACTTGGAGGGGATCTTTTCCAGCTAAATAATGTGAATTTGCATTTAAGAGAAGCAAAAAATCTTTTTCTTCTTTGAAGCTACTAAAATCTGTATTGAATGATCTTATTTATGGGGGTAAGTTTTTGAAGTCCAACTTTTCTTATTCAAAAGCTTCTTGCTGTGTGCATAGTATAGTATCAAAAAGAAAAAAAAAAGTGATGTATCATTGGGTTCATGAAAGATTATTACAAGATTAGCCATAAAGTGTAAAGGGTATCTTTGCTTTCTGGCCAACTTACCAGCACAAGTATTACTGAAGAGTTTACTGTCATTCCTAGTTGGTTTTGTGTGTGTAACATATTCCAAGAAACTTGTCTGTTGAGGCATTCGATTTGATGGCTGGTGCTCTTGCGAGCACCTAGGAGCTCGAATTTCTCCTTTCATGTTACTGGGCAGAGATTGGAGAGCACTGGGTTGGGTTTGTGTGGCAGGGCTTTTGTAGTGAGGAGGCTACATGGCTGGCATCTGGGAGAAGATGCCAGAAGCTTCCCTGTGTCCAGTAGAGCACTGCCAGATCGCTCTAGGAGGACCTGCTTCTGTCCAAGGCTGAGCCCATCAGCCCTGGTGGTAAAGCCTCTGGGACAACACACTTAAAGAAGGGGAAGAAGCTCTGCCCAAGAGCAATTGCAGCCAGAGAGAGAGGAGTAAATAGGTGGGAGAAACAGCTCTGCAGACACCAAGGTCAGTGAAGGAGAGGTAGCAGGCTTAGAGTGAGAGTCCTCCTCACCCTGAGGAGGGAGGAGTGGCAGAGGCGACCTGTGATGGACTGACCGCAACCCCAGTTCCTGTCCCGCCCCCACCCTGCTCTTACCGCTTGAGGGGGAGGAGGTAGAGAAAAATGGAAGTGAAAATGAAAACAGGAAAGAAGAGGGGTAGGGGAAGAGGTGGTGTTAAAATTTGGTTTTATTTCTGATTTGGTTGGCAACTAAACTCATTTTACCGACTCAAAACTGTTTTGCCCATGATGGGAGGTGATGAGTGATCTCTCCCTGCCTTCATCTCAACCCACAGGCCTTTTGCTGTGTTTTTTCTTCCCTGTCCAGCTAAGGAGGGGAGTGAGTGTGGCTTTGGTGGGCTCCTGCTGTCCAGCCAGGGTCAACACATGACAACCAAAAAGCCGCTTCCAGAAAGCAGTCAGAGAGGTGTTCCTTTAAGTGGGAACAGCCTCCTGCTGTTGAAAATGGGGCGGAGCTAAGTGCTTAGATACACTTGTTTGCTTTTTAAATACCTCCAAAGTGGTCACAAGCAGGGTGGCCCATAAAAATAAGAAATTAAAACTTGGACATAATTCTGAATTTTCTGTATTCCTGAGGCTGGCATGACAGAATTCTACCAGCAAGCTTAACACAAAATGCAAAGTTCCACTGAAAGTTGTGGCCTTCTTCTCGCTGCTTCTGGTCAGCTGAAATGTCTGAAGATGTTCTAAAAATTTAATCCTTTAAACTGGCTGTGAAGATAGAGCAATCAAGCCATTCCTAACTTTCTGCTCTAATTATCTGCTTGGAAACTTTGTCTAGAAGCAAGGAAAGCTATTTTTGCTTCTAAAACATGGCCAAACAACATGATGAGAGGTGAGAGAACACACTTTAAATAGGCTGCTCTCTCTACTTCCCTGAGAAGTAGATTTCCCTTTTTCGAAACCCATCACACATGTTAAGAGGCCTTCCCATGGTGTTGGTCAACATGAGAGCATCATCTGCTCCTTCCTCAGCATCATCAGTGCATAAATGGCTGCAACATTTGCCATTATAGCACTAGTATGGACCATGAAGCATTTAATTGGAGAAGTGGGCATTCTAATGCATGGGGTTGTGCACTGTAGTGCATTTGTTTTTTTTCCCAAATCTAGCTTTGTGTTTAGTGCCCTGTCCTGGAAACTTAATGCTGCTAGCTGTAATTCTGAGATTCAGCATGGAGTTTTGACTCTGAGTTCAGGAGCAGATTTCTCCCAAGATTCATATGAGTTTCAGTCGTTCACTACTCTTTCAAAAACTGTTCTGGAGGAAACAGAAGGCTCCTGCCCTGTCTACTGGGTCTCATGAAATGGGCCAGGAATCAGAGGAAGACCCTGTCACACTTGCTCAGTCAGAAGAAATCCTCCACGGAAGCAGATTTGGACTGAATGGTTTAATGAGTTCTACACCAATTTTTCCAGAATTACATCAGTTACCATCATTCACTTTATTTCCAATGGGTCATTCGTGATATTGGCAACAAGAAATAAATTGACTTTTCCGTCTTGTCCCCTACAAGTTAGAAGGCCACTTCTCATCTATTCTTAGCTCTTATTCAGTGACAGCTCCTCAAGATGAACAGAATGGAATTTATGGGTTTACAGTTTTAGGACTGATCTGCTTAAACCTGAGTTGCCTTTTCACTTTGTCTCGAATCAGGCTGTGATTCTCTCTAGAGAATCCTTGCCCTGTCATACTCAGGAGGTCCATGCAAGTTCAATAACCTACAGCACATCCTTTGCTAACTGCAGCCAACAGAAGCTACACACAAAGTTCTTAAGGGTACCAGATGTTCAACCTTAGCTAGAAAACAGGACACCAAGAAAAGGCTTTGAATAGAAAATGGTAGTCAGCTTGGGGTAAGTCCTCCCCAAGGTTTTTTGTGCTGCATGAGGAACATAAGAACATTTTATCTCCTGAAGGCTTATGAGTTACTGTGGTCTGAGACAGTTCTGACCTCTTGTAATTTTGCTGTAAAACATCCAAATTTGAGCCTCTTGGGCAAAAAACTGTCTTCCAGCTCAGTGTTGGGATGAATTACAGCACCAAGGCAAACAGGTGGAAAAAGCAGACCAGTGGAAGTTACTCTTCCCCACTGTGCACATGTCCTGACAAACATGTAATGTAGTCCATTAAGCTGACACAGTAGTCAGTGTTTATAACTTTAATACTTTCAGTAGACACAAAAAAATACTTTACAACATTAACATGTTGACACAAAAATTAAAAATGCAAATGCAATCTCTAAGTTTTAATTTATTATTTTTCTTGCCTGGCTTTTCTGAAGCCATTGCTTCCCTGTTGGGTTTTTTTGTCTTTCATTTTCTTCATGTCTTACATTCCCTGACAGTCATTACAATTGAATCTACATATAATAAATATAAATTATAACACATTAAACTTAGTCACAAACAAACTTTATAATTTCTCAAGCTCAAGTTTTTTAGATATGGTATTGGGTGATCTCACAAAGTTTCCAAAAAATGTTAAAAACACTGGAATAAAAACAAGACCATGAAGAGCCCCAAACAAAATAACAAGGAACATGATCTTGAAGAACGTCCTAAAGATGTAGGTGCTCGCTGCAGCCAGAACAACTACACCCAGTATTGTAGAAACTGCACCTTGTAGAACTGGGTAACCCAGCATGGACAGAGCTTCAATTGCCCTTTTATTGGCCGATGACTCTCCACTGGTAACAAAGGCATAGGAAATGTGAGCAGAAAAATCTACTGAAAACCCAATGCAAATGACCAGGTTGATCATGGATATGGAATCGAGGTTGACGTTCCAGAACGTCATGAAACCAGCAACACCAACTATAACAGAGGCTATAGCAAAGGTCACCCACAAGCAGCACAGCGGGTTGGGAATGAGCAGGAGGGAGACAACGAGCATGGCCCCGGCAGCAACCACAACGTTCTGAACAGTGTTCTGCACTATTACCAGGTACTGGTCGTAGTAGATGAAGGCTGGGTGATACACCTTCAGTGGAATGCTGCACTGCTTGGCTGCCTCTCTTAACTCATTGAGGAGATTCTTCTCATCCACGGCTGATGTCACGTTCACTGTCTGGATGAAGAAGCGTGAAGCCTCTATTTCATCCTGAGTCTTGTTTATGTCCCACTCAGAACTGTGATGAACTCCAAATAGTACATTTAAGTTATTTAAGAAGTCAGTCTTACTGTTTATATTTATCACACCCCTTTTGTCAAGTTCTGTGTATACTCTCAGCCATGACTCTGAGAGGTTCTTATCTACATAGGAAATGTTCTCTAAATTCTGTGCACAGCTCTCAATGCCAAGACGCACCGACTCGTTCCAATAATCTACACTCTCAGTAATGACAACCATGACCCTGGGCCCATATGTGGAGAAGTATTTGTCATCATCATCATAGTATGGAATAACGTAGGAGGCATCATTTGCCAGATTTCGGAGATCGATGCCTTCCCTGACCTGAGTACACCCATAAATGCTGCCACCCAAATATGCTCCGTAGAGCAACACCATGAGCACCTTGATCCATTTATTTGTAACAAAAGGGCCGTAATACTTTTTAAAGAATACGCTCATTGGATGCTCACCTTCTGGCTGAGATGGCTGCCCAGAACAGCTGCCGATACAGCAAGCATTGTACAAGCAGGAGTTCTCAGCCTGATCTTTACCTACATCCACACGCATACAAGTCAGCCAGTGTCGGTTCCCTTGCTCCCTTTTGTGATTTAATACCAGAACTGCCCCAAAGAAGGTCATGGTATATACATAGCAGAAGACAAAAGCTGTCCCTGTATAGAGGCAGAAAGACCTCACGGATGGAAAAGCAGTCCAGGTGCCAATGAAGAAGGCCAAAACATCCGTCAGAGTGGTGATGGTCACAGAAAGTGCTGCCTCTGCATAAGTCTCAGCCAACAGAGATTTAACACTGGATTTCTCGTTTTTCCTTGAACTTTGCTCCCAGGAAGCAATCATGATGAACATGTCATCAACGCCAACCCCTGCAAGAGGAGAGACTGTTAATGCTGTGCTGCAAATGGCAGCTTCCACCAACACCCAACAAAACTACAACATTAATCACATTTCATTCTGCATAAAATCTGGAGAAGGAAGTTGGGCAACTAACACTGCTCAAGCACTGATGCAAGTTACAAGAGAATCTGGAAAACAGATCCTTTGTGTGTAGCTGAATGTATTACCTTTCAGCACCTCCTGGTGACCTGATGGGCTGTTGATCCCTCAGCGACTCTGCTGAAGGACTGAGCACACCTACTGCATCTCTGACAAATGTCTTGTAGCTGATGTCCATGATGCAGATGTCAGATTTCAAAGCATCACATATTCTGATCCTCAACTATTCTTACCACTGGAAGCATCCCCCATTATCTCTGGAATCTCTTCTTCAGCACTGCAGCAACTTAGAGCAATAATGTCTTGTTCTGCCTTCAGAAGGCAGGAAGAGCAGTTGCTACCACCTGGGAGAAGAATGATTCCAGTTTTCCAGTGGCTTACTTTTTTTATGCTCTTTGCCCTCCACTTCTCTCCAGTTTATTTTCCAGCACTTTTTCACAATTTATTACTCATTTTTGTTCACCTCTATACTGATGTGCTCACAAATATTACCTGACAGATCCCTGGGATAACCTGCCAGGAAGACTGGATCCTGGGTTTGAGTTTTTGCTAAGATGCCAGAGTAAGTGAGCTGGAGTTGAAAAATGAAGAGCCAATGGGCTTCTCTTACCTCTGCTAACTCTCAAGATTATTACCTCACACCTTTCAATATTTTGCCATGTTGCCAAGGGCTCTTCTATTCACTGAAAATTAATCACACAGTGCAAATAGCGGAGTGAGATTTAGCCAAGCACAGAAGAAGAGATGAAATCATTACCTGCTACCTGAACAGGCAATTGCCAGTAAACATGCAATGATGAATTAAGGAGCACATCAAAAGGTACTACTGGGTGGCAGGGAGCCAGACTGCTTCAGAAAGCAAGCAGCCCTCAAAGCAAATCCTCTGATGTACTGAGAATTTGTTTGCTTTAACGCAAGGAAGACAAAAGTCTGCGTGTTATATCTGAAGATCTGAAGAGACTGACTTAAGCCCTTTCCCAGGTATACAAGAGGGGCTTTTTGATAATCAGAGCCACTGCAATTGATGAGCAAGCAAAAGTAGATGAAAAAATGCATTAGAATTATGCAAGAAACAAAGAAACAATGCCTGCCCAAAGGAGCATTTGCATTGGACATCTTAGGATGATGCACAGCCTCCGTCAACCTGGGAACTCCATGTGTTTCCCTCAGCATGAGACATAGCTGAGGGAAAAACATCAGATGAATGTATGATACAGGAGACCAGTAAAGATTTTAAAAGCAGTAATTTGTTTGCAGCAACATTATGTGGTTGGAAACATTATCTAATTGCAGCAACACTTTCAGTACTTGGAAAGTTCAGCACTGGCTGTTAAGCAGTCTGTGTAACAAGGATGCAATGATACCAACTTCCTTGGGTTTTTGGGGGGAGCTGCTTGCACAAATGGTTCATCACTTCAGTTGTGCAGCCAACTGAGACTGGTTCATAGATGTTATACTGCAGAGGATTAATCATCCTGGCTACACTTCCAGGGACACTAGAACAACTCCAGAAGTGCTAACCTTACCACTCTCCCATTTACAGTTTGCCTGCTGTAGCAGTGGATCTAGATCAGGCCTTGTCTTCTGGGGAAAGCTGCCCTTGCACCAGAACCCATCTCCAGTCCCACTGTGGCACACGGAGCTGAGCTGAGGGGCTTGCCCCCCTCTGTAGGTGCTCTGGGGTATCTCCTACACACCTCTGGGTATCTCCTACACTCACTTCAGGAGAAACTGTTGTATTCTCTGACATTCACATCATAAAAGACTGACACCATTAGGTTGCTTTAACTTCACTCTGGTCTTTGTATCTGAATACAACTCACTTTTTCTACTTACCCAGAATGAGGAATGGTGCATTTGCTACAGTGACCACAAATGGCACTCCACAGAAGAGCATCAATCCAAAGCTGCTTAATACAGCTAAGCCAGAAGAAAGCACTCCACAGCTTGCAAGCCAGATATTATTTCTTATACAGCTCAGTCTGAAATTATTTCAAGGAATATCTTAGTTATGTGTCAAATATTTCACCAAGGTGTTTGGCATGAAAAGTACTCACATACCAGTGATACCCTCTCTCAGATTAACTCCTGATGAAAGCTGCTAGGCGAGTTCCCATTTGTCAGCATTATAGAAAATATTTTTTCTATGAGGTGTTATACACATTATTACCACTGCCCAACTATATTCAGAAGAGTAAGGATGTGTACTGATCTTTACATCAATAACATGAGATGGCAAAATAAGGGCACATATGCTCTACTAGTGAGGCATGACTTCAGGTCACCCAAAAAAATTGTGAATTTCTAGAAGGTCTTTGATTTTACATGAGTTCTTGCTGTAGCATATCAGTGGAAGCACCTTTCAGGCAGTACGTGCCGTGTAGAGAAACTTTCTCAGCAGTCGGGTTGGCTACCAACCTTTTGCCAAGACGCCTTGGAGGGCTGGCTCAAGCATTCCACAAGAAATGCTCCAATAGGTATGGTGCTTGATGCAAGCACTAAACCAGTCCACTCACCCTACAAGACTAATTTTTGGAACTACAGGACACAGACACTGCTCTACAGCTGTTGAGTGTGCAAGAGTTCACTTTCCATCAGCACAAAGAAAGGGCAGGTTAAGTTCTCTGTGGAGAGCAGGTAAGGCTCTGACTCTACTAGCAAGCAAAACAACTAAGGCTGTACCCAGACTTGCAGGAATCTATGAAGCTACTGCTCGTCCACCTGAACCTTAACTAAGTACTGAACACTTGTTCAAGTTTTCATCTACCATCTAAGCAGCTGGGAGATACACACATGTAGACAATAAAAGGCAAAGAAATACATTTTGCCTATAAAATGTCACAGAAATTCTGAAGCTTCAAGAATGCCTTCACTTGACAAGAGCAGAAACCAACTGAGGGAGGTAAAGAACAGCAGAGATCACTGTTCACTGAGCCATGGCTTAGAGATATTTTACCTTAGGCAAGAGATGACTGCAAAACTTATTGTCAAGAAATATGTCACAGAGAAGAGCGGAATCACACTCTTGGCATTTCCTTCAAACTCCTGTTGTCTTGACAGTGAGGTAAAGTAAGTCACCTGCCGTTAAAACAAGAAACATTGAAGCACTTTTCCTCTTCTTGGGCTTTCTGCACAAGCACAAGCAAGCTTGGCACAAGCACCAGCTTGGCAGAGGAGCATTGGCCTGGCGCTCGCAGCCCACCTGCCTTCTCCCTTTCCCTTTCTCTTTCCCTTTCCCTCTCCCTTTCCATTCCGCGCCGGGGCTGCCCGGACGTTTCGGGCTCGGCGGCTCCGCACGGCCGTAGCCGGCCCCTGCGTTACCTGAATGGAGCGGAGGCGCAACTCCTCCACTTTGGACGAGATGTTCTGCACGAAGCTCTCCAGCCACTGCCGGCTGTCCTGCGCCTCGGGGCCGTCCTCCCGCAGGTAATACAGCAGCTTCAGGGCCCGCGCCCTGAGCACCCGCCCGCCGTCCGTCTCCACGCCGCCCAGCGCGGTCCCCAGGAAGACGCCGTCGTTGATGGGGAAGCGGAGGCTCCCCGGCTCGGGCGGACCCGCATCGCCCCGCCGCGACAGCAGCTCGTTGGGGCTGGCACAGCGGCCGGCGGTGCGGGCGCAGAGCCGCTCGTACTCGGCGTCGTGCACGGTCGCGTTCAGCCGCAGCACCTCTGCCCACGGCGCCGCGTCCAGGACCGAGTTCCCGTTCGTCGCCACGGCGATGAGGGCGGCGTAGGCGCCCTCGGTGGGCAGCCGCGCGGCGGAGAAGCGCTCCGAGTCGTTGGTGGGGAAGTGCCGCCGCACGAAGTCGCGCTCGGCCTTGGCGGGGCCCCACGTGGGCGTGAACTGCCCCTCGATGTCGTTCGCCTGCCGCTGCGGTAGGAAGACGAAGCCGGCGCCCAGCCCGCCCGACAGCAGCAGCGGCACCAGCACGAAGGGCCAGGGGCAGGCGGCCACGCCGCCCGCCAGCCCTTCGAAGAGCCGGCGCAGCGGCCGCTCCACGCAGTTGGTGTTGCGGCAGGAGCAGCGCTCCGCGGGGTCCCGCGGCCCCGCCATGGGCCAGGCGGACAGGGGCGGCCGGCCGCAGCTCCTCGCCGCGGGCGCGTCCCACTCCGGGGCCCGACGGTGCGGTCTGTGCGGGCGGCGGAGCAGCGGAGAGAGAGAGGGGAGAGAAAGAGGGAGAGGAGTTCAGAGCCGCCCTCTGCCCGGCAGAACCTCGGACCGCATTTTTCAGCGGGCGGAACCGCCCCTGCCGTGACTCAGCGGGGTTTCCGCCGCCTCCCTGGGACTGACAGTGGGAGTCGGGCGGGCAGACCAGGCTCCCCCCGCCGCGCCCCGCCCCGGGCCGTGTCACCCCTGCCCTCCGTGTCACCCCTGCCCGCCGTGTCCTCCCTGCCCTCCGTGTCCCCCCTGGCGCTGGCTCCGCGGGTTCCAGCCCGTTTTCAGCGCCCGCTGTGCTGAACCGCTGCCCGGATCCCGCCTTTGGGACCGCTTCCCGGCACGGATCCCGCCGCTTCCCGGCACGGCCCCGCGCCTTCCCTTCAGCCTCCAGACGTCATCGGCTTTTTTAGTGTTTTCCCCGAAGCTGCTGCAGTCGCTACTTCACTGCTATGCATTATTCTTCCATCTGAGAGCAAAACACAGACAATGGTGATGTGTAGCTCTCAGTGTACTGGTTTAGAAAACAGCAAAGTGACAGCAGAAGAAATAAAAGACTTTGAAACAAGGGTTAGCTATTCCAGTTGGCAAGTCACAAGAATATCACTAGTGTGATATGCCACAGCTTTATGCAGTAGCAATAATAGGAAGAATCTTTCCAAGTCCAAAAACTGTCTTGCAGCCTGGTGTTCTTGACACTGGTGACAGTGATTTGAGTGGTCTCAGGCTGAGAACCTTAAGCTAAGATATGACATTACTAGAGAGGTGTCCAGACAATATGTCACAGGCAGGCACTTCTCCTTGCCCTTGAGAGAAGCAACTCTCTTCTCTCCTGCCAGTACTTGCAGAAAAGTTGTAGGTATTTCTTCTCTCCCATCTAGGGAAGACAGGCTTGGCACCTGTGAGTATAAAAGAGCCAGCCAGGCTCTGAGCAAGCTTATATATCTGCTGCACTCAGCACTTAGGGCAGGTTGGATCCTGGTGATTCCTTTTTCCATGCACAGGTTTTCTGAGACAGGTATTTCTCAGACAGACACTTAGAAGCTATTTTCTTTAGCTCCTAACTTGTTGAAACCTAGGAACTGGCCTGGTGGCAGTAGCTACCCAGTCAGGGTACCCACTGGGCACAGACCAGTGCCTTTAGGTAAACGGAAGCTTGGGAATCTGCCTTACAGCATGGAAAGATGACACCACCAACTCTCAGTTCAGAGTGGTGTTCAAGCAGGTAGTGCATGCCAGTCTTCTCCCAGAATCTGAATGCTTGTCCTTGTTCCCTGGCCTATTCATGCACTTTATATTAAGTTCTAATAAGATAAAATATACTTCTTGGAGCAGGGCCAGGAACTGGTCATAGGACTTCCAGCAAGTCAAGGTTTCTGGTATTTTTTGGATGAAGGCACAATCTCTCTTTGTTGTTATGTTGCATTAGCTGGAAGTTTCAAAATGACATTCCAGTGAATTACTGTTTGGCCTTCCTTCCTTCCTTCCTTCCTTCCTTCCTTCCTTCCTTCCTTCCTTCCTTCCTTCCTTCCTTCCTTCCTTCCTTCCTTGTGCTTGTGTAGTAGCTTAAGGACCAACACTCTAATTTCCCTGCCAAGTGTATAATAAAACTTTGTGATTTTTTGTGGACCCTCTAATTTTTGTAGTTTCTTTCAACCATGAGTATTTACAAATCTTGGCTGCTCCCTTCACCTTAAGGGTGTGCCATCCCTTTTTTGGCGTCATGTGCAGGATGCCGTACCCATGAATTCCAGACCGGACTTGATGGGAAGAATATAAGGTATGTCCAACTCCCCCAGGCGCAGTATGTGCAAATTCAAATAGCTCTGAGGCAGGGCTTAAATGGATAAATGTGGTAAAAGGTATGAAAGGGGAAAAGTAAAGCAGTTTTATCTGCTATTTTTTGCTCAAAAAGAGAGGTATGCCAACAAACAGGCAGGGGAGAAATGATTGGATCTCAGCAGGATTTGGTGAAAGGACTGCAGGATCAGTTAAATGAGAGAGGAAATAGGCTTCGGTAGCAAGTGTTGCTTGCTGTGAGTGCGATAGTGAAAGGGAGAGTAGGCAGCAGGCTGCTCGCCGCTGAGCGCCGGAAGGAAGAGGGGCTGCCGGCGGACGCGTTGCTTGGAGCGCTCCAAGAGGCTGCAGGCACAGGGGCTGCTCGCACCTCAGCAGGGTCGGGAAAGGGACGGTGAGCACAGGCGGAGGCAATGCTTGCGGAGCGCGATGGGGAAACGCAAGAGGAGGAGGTATTGAGAAGCGGATGTCAGCTTCTCACTCTGCAATTAAAATTCATATGGAAAACATTCTGGGTTTTGATATTCCATGCCTTTAACCGCTGCTGTGCTAAATTTCGCAAACCTGGTAAGGCAAATTCAGAGAGGATCGCACTCTACGGAGGGCAACTCTAATCGCAGGAGCCGTCCACAAAAAAGGTGGAGGAAACAGCAACAGTAGTATGGCAAGCACTTAATGAATTGAAAGTTGAGATTCTACCTGAGGAATGTCAAGGCTAAACTGTCCCTGACAGACCAAAGTGATCTTTACTATTTAACTCAGCTGCATTTAAAGAGACAGAACAGAGATATCCTGAGTGGGAAAAAGGACTTTTGTCACTAGCCCAAGCTGTTCAACAACTTGAGCCACTGTCTGGACTAACCCCTCCAGGACTCCAGTATTGTTTTCTCTTCCCAGGAATGGTACTGATAATGATGCCATGCATCTGCGCTGAAGATCAAGCTAATCATCAAAGGACTGGTTATCCTTCTTGCAATGATTGGTTATCCAATCATTGCCAGCACAAACTAAATTTGGTTCACACATAAACAAACTCGACCCACAAGGTGGAGGCCCTCTGTGAGGAGCCAATTCAGTTTTGCTATGCCTCACCAATGGTTGTCAGGGGCACATGGGGGAGGGATGCATATGTGCCATGTCCAGGAGTCATCTAGGAGAAGATGGAACAAAGCCTTGTCTCTGGGGAGACTTTGCCTGACAACCATGTCATGTCTCACCTGGGACAGGCAGTCAGCAGGGGAACACTGAAGACGCTGTACCCCAGAGACACTCTCCAGTCAGATGGCAAAAGCTCTCTGCCAACGGACTGCAGTGGGACATTGGACGGGGCCAGGGGTCTCTTGTAACCACGCAGTTTTGGGGAGTAGTCAGGGCCATAAAAATAACTGCATCACAAGCTTTGGGGGCTTTTTGGGAGCTGTTGTGTCCTTTGGTTTACTCTTTATGGGCTTTTTAAACTTGCTTTTGGAGTCCTGCCTTTTGGCTCTTCTGCCCTCGCTGGCTCTTGCTCTCCCTCCTGTCTGTCCTGCCTCCCTGTGTCCCTGGCCGACGCTCTGCCTGCTTCGTCTCTGCCTGAGCCCCCTGCGTCCAGCCTTGCCTGCCTCCGAGCCTGCCCACCACCGTGATCCTCGTCGCGATCCTGTCCAGGCTTCTGGACTCCTGCCTGAGCGCCCTGCACCTTGTGTCCGGCTGCCCATCGCCGCGGGGGCTGTGCACAGCCCCGCCTCGTGGATGTCGACGGTGCTCCCCGGCCTCTGGTGGTAATGCCCTCTTTTTCTCTCTGTCTCCTCTCTCTCCTCTTTCTCCCTCTCCCTCCCATTTTTCTTTCTCCTGCTCTGTCTTCTCTAGCCCTCTTTAGGAGGGTAACTCATTTTTATTTTTCTCTTTCATTACCAACAAACGGTTCTCAGATACAATGTTTGCCTCATTTGGCTTAATTTTGTTCCTGACCATCTATTTTTAAAAGAACTCTTGCAGTTTCCCACATTGGAACGCATCACTTCTTTATTTGTGCTAATCTATATGGCGACTCTGGTATAACCTGCATCACACATGCTTCTCAGTTGTGAGTGCAATTTACTGCGGCAGAAATTATAAAGGAGATGAAAGCAATTTCCCACTGAAATTCAAAAGGTAACTTGACATAATGCAAGTGAATTTAAAAGGGAATTGCACTCTTGGTGTTACCTAGTTAATTTCGTTTATAACCCAACCAGCAGTAAAGGCACAGTTTTTGTTTTAACAATGCACAATGCTGTGGTATATGCTATATACCCAATCATTGTGTCAGAATTAAATCACAACAGAGCTGCAGCCTACCCCTTAGAGAACAGAGTATGGGAGGGAATACTCTGAGGGAATGGATGTGCCTGTTTGAGAACCTTTCAAGTGACTTTGTACTTGTAAACAACCTTACAATAGATTTACGTAATCACCGTTATATTTGTTTGTGTAACTTTGTTGAAATTATAAGATGTGATTTTAGTGTTCAGCTCCTGTTGTATCTTATCTATTGTTATGATTTAATTATACACTAATCACTATGATTTAATTATATTTAAGATCTAGAGCCTACCCTATTGGAATCAATCTCACCTTGATGAGATAGCTCCTATTAAAGCAAGTACAGAGAAAAGACAAAAGACTTCAATTACTGTTCATCATCATGTGGAAAAAATCCACTGAATGATGGTGCAAGTGAAGAAAGATGGGGACCTCCATTGTTGGGAAATTTCATTTGGATGGTCAAACAAGCTGATAGATACTTGACATGCCTAAGAAGAGAGCTGACAGGGATAGCTGGTGCCCCACATTTAAGCGGGTTGTATTTTCCTCTTTTCAAGATCTGTGGGGACCCAGCCCTATAATCAATTAATTTCTAATATTCCTAGTGGCCTTATCTCTAGGTGTTGTTAGACTATGCCTGACACTGCCCACCTGAAGTCCACGTAAACCAGTCAAGAGCAGCTATAACAAAAAGCCTGAAAAGCAAAATAACAAGCAGATTGTTCACCATTCAGGTGACTGAGTTGTGTCTCTGTTGCACAGCACTCAAAGTCAGATCATTTCTCAGGAGGGCAGGAGACCCAGGCTCAACCCCACTCCAAAACTGCAGTACCAAAACCTTCTCTCTTCCACAGCAGGTTCCACTGTCTGTCTCTGGGGCATTTTTACCCTGCCAGAAGCATGAAGAAAAATTCAGCCCAGGTGTCTTTCAGGAGCAGCCCA